ATGATGAGGACTCTTTCTATAAATGGAGTAAAGCATCATCTCCCAAAGTGAAAGGTAATTTCTTTTTCCTTGCCTCTTCAAAGATATATGACAAAACATCATGTCGCTTTACATGCTTACAGAAGCGCGTCGCGTGACATCCTAAGGAACGGCTGCCAATGAAACTAGTAGTTATAAAATCTGAAAAAAAATCGAGGTCTTTATCTTATTTAATAACTCTATCCAAAGAGATGGGCAATAGTTGAGCGAACTAGACACAGGTGCGCTCACTACTTCAAACGACAAGATGTAACAAAACATCATATCTGTCGCATAACGTGCAAAAGAAGTGCGTCGAGATGGATATTAGCAGTTATAGAGTCAGAAAACATCGAAGTTTATCTCTCATTCTGTAAACCTATTCAAAGAAATGAGCAAAAGTTATTAAGCGAATAAGACTTAGGCGCGCTCACTACTTCAAACGACAAGAAATGGCTTATGCAGGTTGATGCAGAAATTTTCTTCCCTTTGTCATTGATTTCCTCTTCCATTCTAACAAAAAACCAAGCGACTTGTTTCATTGTTTGACATTTAAAAGTTAGTTTATTGTACTTAGATAATAAGTAAACAATCTAATCGGAGAAACTAAATGAAATCATTTGGCTCCAACTTTCTAGCTCGTTCTGAGCTTCTTTTAATGCTGTGTACGCCGGTAACTAAAATTAAGATAAAACTTCTCGTTTTGCCTTTGGACGATTAGTTTAAAAAATATACTTAAAATGCATCGATCGTCTTGTAAAAAAGAACACAATTTATCGCATTCAAAATTAAAGGAGAAATCTCAGAAAATTAACTAATACCAAGACTAAATCCTTGCCATTACGGCCAAAATCTGTCATTTTAGGTCCAGATAAACCAAATTCTGATCAGCAGAAACTAACTTTAAGTACCAATTACTGGGTACAAATCATCGAAAAGTTACTCACAATTCCCATCCGACATAAACTAAGATAATCGAGTAATCGGACAACTGATTATTTTCCAATTTCCATGGAAATTCTCCACACGCACATAGCTGTAACAGCTTTACATCACTCATGAGAAAAAAACCGATTGAGTAAAAGTCTAAAAAACTCTGGAAACGTTTTCAAGACTTTTCAACTTCGACGCCAATGCAACGCCCAAATCCGCTTAGTAGGTAATACATAGATTAAAAATTAACTTTTGTATAGATACTCATGATAATTTCAAGACATTATGTGAAAAAAACCAGTAGTTTCAGCTGAACATAAAAGATCAAGCTCTTAAGAGCAGTTCAGACAAGGAAAAAGTCAACTTTTGAATCAATGAAAATCCGTTCTCTTGTTAAACTTGACTTTAGTCGCCTTTTGGTTCTTCCTGCTTTGAAAAGAAGACTCTTGACAAATATTTAATCGGTAGCTTACTGGTTTATGGTCCAAATATCAGCGTTTGCGGGTATTCTAAAACTCCTTGGGGCTCCAATGCTCACTGCCTTAACTGAAAAATAAAAGAATCTAAGTTTAGGAAGGATAGTTGAGTTGCCATAAAATATTTCATAGCACATGAAACGATACATTGCACAAAAAGGATTGTTTTAAAAGAAATTTGCTTTTTACTCCTATCAGGTTTCCTAAAAAGAATGTCATCATCGTAAACGTTTCCTCTTGATTTTACTGCATCTCAACTTGCCGGAGCAAAAACTAAATATCGTAACCCAACTGAAAGGAAAATAACACGCAAGTATCATTGCTCATAGATAAGCTATAATTACGATTTAAGGTAACTTTGTATTAAATAGAATGTATAAACAGAATATTTACTTGTTTCGGCTTCTAATATCCTTGACATCCAGGTTGACATCATCACCAATGAGTACAAATGGTGCCCAGTAAATCACCTCCTTGAACTCTTCAATTTCTCTCATACACTTCATGGCCTGATTGAGAGCTTCACTTGCTTTCTTGCCTTTGGCAAGTGCATCGTAGAAGAAACTCATGAACTCCAGGGTTCCCTCGTCGCCAATCGCCCACAAGGTTACTACAACAGATCTAGCACCGGCACCCAAAAGTGCACGCGCCATGCCCACCACACCCTCTGCCATGACTTCCCCACGAGCAGTGTGACAGCAGCTAAGTACAACCAGACGAGCTCGCAACCCAGCTTCTATGACATCTTTCATCGTCAGTAGATAGTCTTCCTCATGCGGCTGAGGGTTTTCTCTTGTGGTGTTTGGCGCTAGGATAACTTCTCCAGTTTCCATTTTACCGTGTGCTGCTATGTGAACTAAGGCCACTGATGATATTCGTTTTAAAACTTCATGTTTTGTTGCCATTTCTCCAGTGAGGGGGGGAACATTGAGGATACGTCCGATCATTTCCACTTCTTCCCTTGCTCCTGGAAGTTGTTCCAAACGTCTTCCCTGATAGATGATATCTTTGAAACATGGGTCGCCGACAAGCAATGCACCAGTCTTGATGTGAAAGTCAGCTGGACAATCATGAATTAGTTGCAACGTCGTCAGAGAGGGAAGCACACGAATTGTGCAAGAATCACTCAGATATGATGACTTGGAGTCCAGCAACGCTGCATAAGGTACAAGGCAAAATGGCCCCTCAGGAACGAATGTTATCTCGTTGCCTTCGATCAGGTCAGCAATAGGAGCAACGATAATGTCATGCAGCTTCTTTAAAGCACTTGATTGGGAGTGCCTCACATCAACTCGGATCACATCATTGGCCTTTTCCTCTTCTGTCGGCGAATCAGGAGGAAGATTTTCGATTTTAACAGTATCTCTTTCACGGATCTCCTTCAGAGTAGTTTCGTTCAGCAGCTGGATGAAACGTTCCAATTCATCCTCAAACTTATAATCGTTGACGTGTACCTTTTTCATCTGGATGTTATCTTCACTGAGGCAAACCCAGAAGTAAACGCATGGTCCATTAATAGCTATGAAAACTGTACTCAATGTAACGCACCTCAGAGAAATGTGGGATGCGCCTTGCGTTAAAGAATCTCCAGGCTGATATTTTGTGGTCATGAGATCTCTCAGAGCTTGAGCACGTCCTTTCTCTGTGGCAAGAAGAGCCTTTAGAGCTTGACCTCGTTTGAGATTTATACGCCACAAACCTTTGTATGCTACTTGGTAAAGATTACGATAAGTAATCTTCCACTGATCGTTGAGTTGAAGACTGGCCCTGATATCATCATACAATTCTACACTTGAGTAATAATAGTCAAAGGCCATCATGAGATTTCCTTGGCACTCAAAATGGTTTCCAAGGGAACAGAGTGAGCACGCCACTCCAGGCTTGTCTCCCACTTCTTTAGCAATTTCTAGATGACGTTGATGGTACTTGATGGCTGTTTTGAACTCTCCTAGACCTTGATAAGCGTTGCCGAGATTGCCATAACTTTTTCCTTCTCCGGCCTTGTCTCCCACTTCTTGAGCGATTTCTAGAGTGCGTTGATAGTAATCCATTGCTGTTTTGAACTGTCGTAGACCTTGATAATCGTTGCCGAGACTGCCATAACTTGCTCCCTCTCCGGCCTTGTCTCCCACTTCTTTAGCAATTTCTAGACATTGTTGATGGTACTCGATGGCTGTTTTGAACTTTCTTAGCCTGCAATAAGGGTTGCCGAGATTGCCATAACTTTTTCCCTCTCCGGCCTTGTCTCCCACTTCTTTAGCAATTTCTAGATGACGTTGATGGTACTTGATGGCTGTTTTGAACTCTCCTAGACTGTTATAAGCGTTGCCGAGATTGCTATAACTATTTCCCTCTCCGGCCTTGTCGCCCACTTCTTTAGCAATTTTTAGACATTGTTGATCGTACTTGATGGCTGTTTTGAACTCTCCTAGATCTTGATAAGCGTTGCCGAGACTGCCATAACTTGCTCCCTCTCCGGCCTTGTCTCCCACTTCTTTAGCAATTTCTAGATGACGTTGATAGTACTTGATGGCTGTTTTGAACTCTCCTAGACCTTGTAAAGCGTTGCCGAGATGGCAATAACTTGCTCCCTCTCCGGCCTTGTCTCCCACTTCTTTAGCAATTTCTAGATCACGTTGATGGTACTTGATGGCTGTTTTGAACTCTCCTAGACCTTGATAAGCGTTGCCGAGATTTCCATAACTTGCTCCCTCTCTGGCCTTGTCTCCCACTTCTTTAGCAATTTCTAGATCACGTTGATGGTACTTGATGGCTGTTTTGAACTCTCCTAGCCCTTGATAAGCGTTGCCGAGATTGCCATAACTTCTTCCCTCTCCGGCCTTGTCTCCCACTTCTTTAGCAACTTCTAGATGACGTTGATGGTACTTGATGGCTGTTTTGAACTCTCCTAGACTGTCATAAGCGTTGCCGAGATTGCAATAACTTGCTCCCTCTCCGGCCTTGTCTTCCACTTCTTTAGCAACTTCTAGATGACGTTGATGGTACTTGATGGCTGTTTTGAACTCTCCTAGACCTTGATAAGCGTTGCCGAGATTGCCATAACTTCTTGCCTCTCCGGCCTTGTCTCCCACTTCTTTAGCAATTTCTAGATGACGTTGATGGTACTTGATGGCTGTTTTGAACTCTCCTAGACCTTGATAAGCGTTGCCGAGATTGCAATAATTTGCTCCCTCTCCGGCCTTGTCTCCCACTTCTTTAGCAATTTCTAGACATTGTTGATGGTACTTGATGGCTGTTTTGAACTCTCCTAGACTGCGATAAGCGTTGCCGAGATTTCCATAACTTGCTCCCTCTCCGACCTTGTCTCCCACTTCTTTAGCAATTTCTAGATGACGTTGATGGTACTTGATGGCTGTTTTGAACTCTCCTAGACCTTGATAAGCGTTGCCGAGATTGCCATAACTTGCTCCCTCTCCGGCCTTGTCTCCCACTTCTTTAGCAATTTCTAGACATTGTTGATGGTACTTGATGGCTGTTTTGAACTCTCCTAGACCTTGATAAGCGTTGCCGAGATTGGCATAACTTCTTCCCTCTCCGGCCTTGTCTCCCACTTCTTTAGCAATTTCTAGATGACGTTGATGGTACTTGATGGCTGTTTTGAACTCTCCTAGACCGTGATAAGCGTTGCCGAGATTGCCATAACTTCTTCCCTCTCCGGCCTTGTCTCCCACTTCTTTAGCAATTTCTAGATGACGTTGATGGTACTTGATGGCTGTTTTGAACTCTCCTAGACTGCGATAAGCGTTGCCGAGATTGCAATAACTTCCTCCCTCTCCGGCCTTGTCTCCCACTTCTTTAGCAATTTCTAGATCACGTTGATGGTACTTGATGGCTGTTTTGAACTCTCCTAGACCTTGATAAGCGTTGCCGAGATTGCCATAACTTCTTCCCTCTCCGGCCTTGTCTCCCACTTCTTTAGCAATTTCTAGATCACGTTGATGGTACTTGATGGCTGTTTTGAACTCTCCTAGACCTTGATAAGCGTTGCCGAGATTGCAATAACTTTTTCCCTCTCCGGCCTTGTCTCCCACTTCTTTAGCAATTTCTAGATGACGTTGATGGTACTTGATGGCTGTTTTGAACTCTCCTAGACTGCGATAAGCGTTGCCGAGATTGCCATAACTTTTTCCCTCTCCGGCCTTGTCTCCCACTTCTTTAGCAATTTCTAGATGACGTTGATGGTACTTGATGGCTGTTTTGAACTCTCCTAGACTGTGATAAGCGTTGCCGAGATTGCCATAACTTCTTCCCTCTCCGGCCTTGTCTCCCACTTCTTTAGCAACTTCTTGATGACGTTGATGGTACTTGATGGCTGTTTTGAACTCTCCTAGACCTTGATAAGCGTTGCCGAGATTGCCATAACTTCTTCCCTCTCCGGCCTTGTCTCCCACTTCTTTAGCAACTTCTTGATGACGTTGATGGTACTTGATGGCTGTTTTGAACTCTCCTAGACTGTCATAAGCGTTGCCGAGATTGCAATAACTTGCTCCCTCTCCGGCCTTGTCTTCCACTTCTTTAGCAATTTCTAGATCACGTTGATGGTACTTGATGGCTGTTTTGAACTCTCCTAGACCTTGATAAGCGTTGCCGAGATTGCCATAACTTCTTCCCTCTCCGGCCTTGTCTCCCACTTCTTTAGCAATTTCTAGATGACGTTGATGGTACTTGATGGCTGTTTTGAACTCTCCTAGACTGCGATAAGCGTTGCCGAGATTGCAATAATTTCTTCCCTCTCCAGCCTTGTCTCCCACTTCTTTAGCAATTTCTAGACATTGTTGATGGTACTTGATGGCTGTTTTGAACTCTCCTAGACTGCGATAAGCGTTGCCGAGATTGCAATAACTTGCTCCCTCTCCGGCCTTGTCTTCCACTTCTTTAGCAATTTCTAGATCACGTTGATGGTACTTGATGGCTGTTTTGAACTCTCTTAGCCCTTGATAAGCGTTGCCGAGATTGCCATAACTTGCTCCCTCTCCGGCCTTGTCTCCCACTTCTTTAGCAATTTCTAGATGACGTTGATGGTACTTGATGGCTGTTTTGAACTCTCCTAGACCTTGATAAGCGTTGCCCAGATTGCAATAACTTTTTCCTTCTCTGGCCTTGTCTCCAACTTCTTTAGCAATTTCTAGACATTGTTGATGGTACTTGATGGCTGTTTTGAACTCTCCTTGACCTTGATAAGCGTTGCCGAGACTGCCATAACTTCTTCCCTCTCCGGCCTTGTCTCCCACTTCTTTAGCAATTTTTAGATGACGTTGATGGTACTTGATGGCTGTTTTGAACTCTCCTAGACCTTGATAAGCATTGCCGAGACTGCCATAACTTCTTCCCTCTCCGGCCTTGTCTCCCACTTCTTTAGCAACTTCTAGATGACGTTGATGGTACTTGATGGCTGTTTTGAACTCTCCTAGACCTTGATAAGCGTTGCCGAGACTGCCATAACTTGCTCCCTCTCTGGCCTTGTCTTCCACTTCTTTAGCAATTTCTAGATGAAGTTGATGGTACTCGATTGCTGTATCGAACTGCGCAGCATTATGGTAAGTACATCCGAGACTAGCATAAGTGTCTGCTTTGACCTTTAGTTCAGTATTCGATTTCCTTTTTAATTGAAGCAGACGTTCGTTATTGTTGTCAATCTTAAAACGTGTCAAGGGTAACTATATCATGAGCGGATTTGCGAAAATACAATGGAAATATGTTTTAAAAATAATGAGAGTATTGGATAAAACCTTAAAATTGGAATGATAATTCGAGTGTGGTTTTCTTGAAGAGATTTGATTTCAAGTTATTCGAGAGTGTTAACTAGTTCTGAAGCGCATTTATTAGTTTAGATTCGGTCGTCATGGTGATGCTCGTCTCAAGACAAAAACGAGGGGCATTTAGCAGAAACTCTGAGAATTAGTTCAAGTAAAGTTTCGTCGAATAATCGAAAGAACTCCTTAATAATATTTTAGCTTCTTTAAACTGCTCAGTGCAGTATAAGAGAACATGGCTTGCATTATGTGTAGAAGAATCTGCCTGGAACGTATTTTTTTATTCTTGAAATATTATTCGCATTGCATCTCGTATCACGTTGGAAACATTCGTTAAAGGATACGGTCAATCCCATATGCAACCAGCTCCTTGCTTCTTTATACCAGCAAAGTTCGACACAAGCTCTGGCTCCTGAAAAGGAGAGAATAACTGGTGGTGCGAGGTAATTTATCACTGTTCAGGTATAAACGTAGTGATAAAATGGACTTAATTTGTCATTTAGCTGGGAACAAAAATTGTGATAATGAAGGAAATTTGAACTTGTGGAAGAACTCAAAATGAACAATAAGGAGCTAATACAAAGCGGCTACCAATTAAGCTTCAATTTATGATGATAACGACGAATTTATCTCACGCATTCTTTATTTTAATGCGCTGTTATGCACTTTTCAGCATTTTTCGGGGAAGTTTTCGGGAAGACTGCATTGAGCAGTTTAACTCTTGATAGGGAATCTTTCAGGTGCTTCTTTTTCGGGTTTTGTAACGTCCCCTGCTAATAGTTACAGAGAAGATTTAGGAAACGGGGCTCACAGTTTTCCGTCCATATCCGTGACAAGAATATCAAAGCATTTGCAGATGTCACAGCTTAGGCGGCAGCACATTGCCCTCAGATATTTTAAGACTCAGGGTGATGGTCCGGTCCAAGGCTTGAACCCTCGACCTCCGGCGCTCTACAACGTGAACTAACCAGGCAGCGGTATTTGAGAGCTTATTGGCATTTTCTTATGCTTTATACCCACATAACAGACATTGACACACCAGATACAATTGACACTTGGAGTGCAGTTACCTGCCACAAACCACACAATCCTCTTTTGACGAAATCAGAGAATAAAATATTGATGGCTTATGTCTGAAAAACCCACCTTTCTTAATAGCTTTGATGAAAGTGGGTTCCAATTGAACAGCAACTGTTGCATCATCCAGACATTCCATGTAGTTTGCTATGAGATTCAGGAAATGAGGTTTAAAAAAGTTGTCATCCAATGAAATTGCAGCAAAGAAGCCTGAAAAATTACAATTGCTTAAATTGCAGTCTAATAACGAGAATCATTTCTTTTCTTAATTTTCATCCACTAAAGGGGGATTCATGTATTTGTGCTTTTCCTCTGCTGTTGCTCAACTTCTTTCTTTTCTTGATGCAGATTGTGTATTCCGTTATCTTGTAACGCTGCATGAGAGATTTATATATTTAGAAATGAAATTGTTACCCAAACGGAAATGAGCTGTTGCCCTGTTACTGTAAAGCTTGGCGTTGAGTCGTTTATCTTTGCAGTTCACTTGAAGTCCTTCCGTGTAGGAGTTTATCGCGTTATTAGCTTCTCCTTGTCTGTATTCTTTGTTACCTTCCTCGAGACATACTTTCGCTATCCCTGAAAACGTACCGTTTTAATGATTTAGTAATGATTTAGTAATGAGTAATACGACCCTTGACCGATGATGCAAACTTTATACTTCCAAACAAACTTTTAGGTTAAAGGAACTTAGAGCTATGAAAAACGAAAAATTAGAAAAGTTTAATATCTGTACACTTTGTTTGTGTGCAAGCTGTTAAGAGTCTGGGCTGCAGCTTGGTTATTACCAGTTCAAGTTTCTCGGTTTACATTTAGGTCGAGAGGCTTTCACAAACTCCTTTTACAACTGGCTTACGTTTTCCAAAATATCAAAAATTTTACCGGGAGCTCCTATTTCAACTCAACTTTGTTTACAATCGCACTTCAGAAGAGTTTATCTTTGCTCTTTGTTTGTTTAAAAATATACACATGCTCTATTAGAGGTTTTAGCTGTAGCTTGGCTGTAAGCAAATCAAGTCTGTTCGGTTTACATTTAGATAGAGAGATTTTCCAAAAACCCTTTTACACCTCGGTTACGTTTTCCCAAATATCAAGTTAGAATATAAAACCCCATAATTAGTGCATAAAGCAGAGTAAAGCCAGGAACGAAAAAGTTAAAACTTGTGAATGTTCTGTTAAAAAAAAACAAAAAAACATCGCGCTGAGAGTGACCAGGGTTCGTGGTTTTCCCATCGTTCAGAAAAGTGCGCTAAAAAAAATGTTTTTGTTGTTGTTGTTGTTGTTTTTTGATCACTTGGTTTTTCTCATACATGTAACTGTCTATTGAGAACATACTCTTAGAGGCCAACTGGAGAAATCTGATTGGGAAGTACTGCTTTCCCGCGAAGTGCCATTTTGCCTGTTGTGAAAGTCAGGGGTTCTATATTTTGTTGACCGGTGGTTTATAGCGTGGGCCTGGTGTTGACACAACTGTCTAACGAGGCGTGAAATATTTAAAAGACCAAAACAGGCGATACGGCCGAGACAAAATGCCTCCTTTTCGCTGTAGAATTCTCAAATTGAGTAAAATTTCTGCCAAACATGCATTGAACAATAACGGACAAACAGGTGTTAGCATAACTTTTAGTCAAATACTTTCTTCGTGGCGGCCTCAAAAAGTTATCCGTTTGCCATTTTTTTCAGCCAACAGCTCTCTCTCGCCGAAAACGACTTTCACATTAAAAATGACCAAATTTTGAGTATCTTCAAATTCAAAAGGAAAATACTTCTACTTGGCAAATATTGTTCATTTTAGGTGAAAATTGTAGCTACATCTTTAATCTTTAAAACGCCGTGTGTTGATTTGGAAGGAAGCACTTTTAAAACTCAGAAAACTGAGTTATACAAAGCCTAGTGGGCCAAGTTTGACCCATTCTTCTCTAATTTAGGGCTCTTCAAAGCGAAGTCGCGTTCAAATTTGCCGCTTTGTGGCTTGTAAATAATTAATGATGTCATCGTATTTGAAGATATTTTGCTGCTTCAAAAACTCATTCACAAAACATACGCAAATTTTGATGTAAATAGGACAAAAAAACTTCACTGGGACGTCTTTCAAACAATCTTACTTCACCTGGTTTTCTTACCTCTTAAAGGGTCATTGTATACATCCAGTTCAGCGTCACTTGACGTAACTTGACTTTCCTCTGTTGCTGAAATTACCGAGAAGATATTTCAACTTTGTTAGTGATCGCAACTATGTGCAATTACAACTAGCGTTCTAATACTGACGTATTTAATGGATTCCTTTAAAACGTTTAATTCGAAATGATCCAAAAAATTTTGCACCAGAATCAAGATATACTTAGTTAACAAACAGTACGAAATCACCACAACGAAGAGTCTCCCTGTTGCTTTTTCTCACCTGTGGCTGGAAACTCATTTTTCACCTCCAGTTTTTCTCCCGTTGCTGGGAGGCTGCTTTCTGCCATAGCTAGAAATAAAATAGAATCGATTGTACTGCGCTACATTGTTTAAAATCAAAAGAGGAGACTCAGATGAAAGTAACCTAAAGAAAACATTTTATACTTAATCATAGAGAAAGAATGAGAATCTCAAAGTTTCCTCCGTCACGCTATTGTAATTGCGTGACAGCTCCAGTTAAGTTCTGCGGGTTGTGTCATGTTTGTTTGTTTGTTTTCGTAGTCTCATCTGTTGAAACGTCGTTCAAGGCTGTCCCTTATCAAAATGCGTGAATTGCAATAAACAACCTTGTTGTACCCGGTAGGCATGGATCAAAAATAATGCAATAAAAGACCAATTCCTCTGCTATTTATACGTTAAGGTAGGACCCGCGAGCGAGCAAGAAAGCTGTGTTCTGATCAGCTACCCAAGAGTGCAAAATGTGTATTCTTTAGATTCCCACTTTGATTCCCCACAGAAGGAAAAAAGAAATGCTTGTAGCCTGTTGAATACCTCGTATAATTTCAAAACTAAGCAATATATTTTTGTCCTATGAATAAAGGCTTTTCCAGCATTTTTGGCTAAAACACAGGTCACAGATTCGTCCTAAATGAAAACAAAACAAAACAAAAATCACAACGAAACTCACAGATTTATTTGGTACTTCCATAATGCATGAATATATTTTGTTATCGTGTGATACATCCTTTGATCCGTTGCTGACGAAGCCTTCGTCTCGGTCCCGGCTTAAAATATAGTGAGGGAAATTGGCCGATGTACAGCCTTCTTAAGCTCACACTTGTTCAGTAATACACACATACACATGAGATATTAGATAACCGCGCGTGGATACGAATTTTACCATCGAGTGTTCATGACATCTTTTACTCCTTCAAATAGATAATTCAATTCAAGCGGATAAATTCGTATCGATAGGCCAACATGTATCATCCATTTTATTCAAAAGATATTGATTGAAAATTTGAATCAAATATGATTTTTTAATTAGGAGCATCGATTAAAGAGGTCCGTTACACCGAAACTCAGCTCGCCGAAAAATCCATTCAATTTCGGACATTGTAATACAACAGTTTATCATTACAAGAACTATTTTCTTTAAAAAAGAATTGAATTCAGCTTCAGGTAAAAAAAATACAATTGAAAAAAAAAAAAAAGCCCACATGGAAGGTAAAACTGTCATGTTGATAAATCCGGTTGTAATGACGACATTGATACCTTTATATGTGAAGATATAAATGGTACATTTACAGCGTGCGGTGGAGATGTCACGTTTTGGATACTGAAAAAATTCTGGTATTTCACCGACAACCATATTACCGTTATTATTACTATACATCGCGAATGTTACCATATCAAAAGAAACGTAGGGATTGTGTAATTTTTTTTCAACCTCGAGCTTTGTTACAAACTTACAAAGAGATATTTGCTGATTTTGATATTGACGAGAGCTCTAATTATATACGTCACGTTATCTAGCTTTGTCACATGCTCATCACGCGCTTCTGCCGCATAATGATCACGCACAGTTAAACCTTTAACTCCCGTGATCTAATTGTTAATTCTCCCCTCTAGCTGCTACATGTTTCATTTCAAAGTAAATACAGAAATTTGGTGTTAGTTCCAAGATAACGAATTCTACCTGATAAAACTTTGAATATTCTCATTGCCTGTTTGCTGGATAATGTATTGATATCACAAGGATAGGTTCTGGGTACTATTGCGCAATAGTACCCAGAGGTCATTGGGCCCTCAACACCATGACAACTAACTGTGATCCAATGAGGTGTTCACGTGCTGATCACGCGTGCTATCTTGATGATGATTGACGTTGTCATGCACGGACAGGGCCGGGTCACATGACGAACACAAGATTTTTGCCCATAAAACTCTTTTGTCAGTCGTTTTGTATTTCAATGTGTTTGGATTACGATCATCTGGAGCATTATGGCGCAAACGCTCAAAATACTTATAGACGCATACACAAGTCGTATTGTTTGCGGCCAATCCACACAAAAAGATGTTATTGAGCGGTAATGTTGGAACGGACTGAATCGTGAACGCTTGAAAGCCATGAAAGCATTGAATGCCTTGTATGTCTTGTATGCTAAGTATACCAATGTCTTAGTTGAAAACGTTAACTCGTTGTAAAAAGCAAAATCTGAAATCTGAAACCAAACTGCATATACTCTATGCAAACTATTGAACAACACTACTACCGTGAGACTGAAGAACAAAATTCAAATGGATGCAAACTGCTTGTGAAGAAAGACGCCATGTTGGATTCACTTGATGCCAGGGAACGGAGCTACGATAACAGTGCGAATGGTATTAATTTCACGATCAGAAAGATGAATCTTATGTTTTTTTTCCATTGTAGTTGTATGGATATTCTTTTTTAATAAATACATGATCCAAAATCCCGTGTTTTTTGTATTTAATGTTATTATGTTAAGTATTGTTTACGCAATTGTCTTGTCACAGGCAACCCAAGGTCACGTCTCGAGAAAGAGCCAACGATTAATTCACGAACGCGTTACGCGTTGTGTGACTCAGAGTAAGTTATGCTAGGAACCGTTGAAAATTTGAACACGTTATTAGGAATAGTATAGGGAACGAAATATGGTCGATTTACAACGATAAATATTTCGAAATATGAAGATTTTTCTTGTAAAATCAATAAAACTTACTCATACCCTGTGTATCCGTTGTAGCCGTTGTGCCGTTTTAAGCTTGCTTTACCATCACCATTATTCACGTCATCTACTTTTATTACATTGGTAAAATCTGTACAGACATCACACCAACCAACTATGTTGAAGGCTTGAAGTTATATTACGATCGATTTTCATCAAGAAATGGGCCAGGAATTTTCCACAATAGTGCAAATAATCGTGAAGGCTGATCGCGGAAAAGCGATTGCGTGACGCTCGGTAAGCTGTAAGATGACATGTTATTATATACCAGACGTAGAAACTCTTCAGATTCTCAGTCTGCATTTTGTACTCACTCTGCAGTCTATATTTTGTATCCGGTCTGCAGTCTGCTGTCTACATTTTGTACTAACAGGTATCCGTGGCATCAATACAGTTTATTTTTGGTTACATTTATTCGCACAACACACATAATCTACCACAA